TTTTCACTACAACTACTTGATCCCCGAGGACTTGTTTTAGCAGTATTCTCTCACCTTCAAATGCGTATCGAAACTCTTCAGTCAAGAGTCCTCCGGCGACGTTTATCAGCAAGACTTCACCTCTCTCCTGCAATTTCAAGGCTCTTCTCTTGAGGACGAAGGTCTTCCCGGTTCCACTTCCTCCAGCGAGGAATATGACCCTTGATTCACTCTTTGCTAGTTTCCTTTGTTGAGGAGTGAGAAGCACAGTCATCTCTTTCATTTGTTCCTCGCTCGTGTTGTACAGTTGATGGGGATTTCGTGGGAGGTCCAGAGCTGATGCAGCAGAAACATAAAGGTCGAATATATCCTTGAAGGTCTTCATGACTGGGCACTCAGAATTCGAGTCAAAGGGTTTCTCCAAAATTATATTGTGTCTCGCCAGAAACGTTCTGAAACTTTCTGGATGATCCACGTCTTCAGACACGAGGATTCGCATCCTGCAGTCACTGCATTCGATCAGTTTCTGCAATTCCATCTTCGAAAGCATCGGTAAAGCTACGAATCCAGCTAACTTCACGGTCGGATTCAGGAATTCACTACATAGAGTACGAAAAATGTTAAAATCTTTCTCGACTTGTTCTGTTGCTTTCCGAATTGAATTAAGGATTCCCCTTTGGCTAGTCTTGGATGTTACTCCCTTGATTTGAAAGAAGAGTCCCAAGATGTTACTTCCGGATATCGCAGTTCCGAAGACGTCGTGATCACCAGATTTTATGTCGTCTTTAGTCACTCCAAACTCCAAGAAGAATTTGTTTTTCAGTTTCTCGTTAATGCCCTTGAGCAAGGTGTCATCGAAAGCGTAATCCTGGACTGTGAGGGACGGCAAACCCTGGAATGCCCCTTTTACTCTATCAAACACAATGGCAACGGAAAGTTGGTCCGGGGGCATGGTGACGTCTTTTTCCTTTTTGAGGACCTCTAACCTGAGTTCAGTGAATTTCCTCTTGCGCAAGATGTACCCCTCAGGTAAGGAATATGCCTTGGTGTAGGCTTGAGGGTAGTGCAATGCCACGTATTCTTCTGCTGTCTCCTTCAGGGGTCTTTCATCGTCTGCACCCATGTATATTTTGAGGTGGTCCCGAATGTCCAAGTTCCCTTTTCTTTCATAGCTTTCCAATCGTCCGAAGTAAGAACATTTCTGGCAGTGCTCGCACCTTGCTTCATCGCCCTATGCAAAGAAAGAATGGCTTAAAGTAAAAGATTTTTAGTCTGCAAAGAAGTCAGCACTTTTTTGGACGTCCTTTCAAAACTTCATGAATCGTTTGAATTTTTGAAACGAAGTGGATGTCCTTCTATGAGGAAATCCAACTCTTGAGGGGCGTCCACCTGATTCCATATTCACATCCTATCGCCTTGTCACCTGTCTGTCGTTCACACGAAGTGTATGCAGGCCTTCAATATGTTCATTTTGGAATGGTGCCTTCCGAAGCTGGGAAGGTTTGGTCTTTGTTCTCGAAGGTATCTATCGAATCAACTTCAAAAACGAAGCAAAACCCGTATGGAAGTGTTCTAGGCAGGCCACAAGCGATAATGAAAGGCAGTGTCCTATCTGTGTTAGAGTGAAATTTCAATTGACCAGTGATGACCAAACCGATAAAAAAAATTATTTCCAACTAATTTAGAAATACCAGAAAAATTAATTAATCACCAGATTATTAGTGGTGATATGACAGAGAAGCTTCAATTGGCAAGTAGTACGTACGAGGTATGCCAAGATCTGGAACTGCCGAGACGCATTTGTGAGATTATTAAATTATGATTCGAACTTCTCGACTGGTGAGCTATCGGTACATGGGTGCACATTGCAAGCGATTATGCCAATATTTCTTTATACTAGTAATAGACACTTGATGTACGAGGTCACATGAAAAAGTTCCAGTACCTTTTATTCGTAACAATTACTTTTAATAAGTACATTAAAATTAATTGTTTTCCCCTTCAAAGTAATCCTTCCTCGATGCTATGCACTTATCCCAACGGTCCTGCAACTTCTGGAAGCAGTGCTGGAAGTCCTGGCGTGTAAGACACTCAAGCTCCTTCGTCGCATTTTCCTTGATGCTTGCAATGTCTTCAAATCTCTTTCCTTTCAGGGGAAATTTAATTTTGGGGAACAGGAAAAAGTCACAAGGAGCCAGGTCCGGTAAACAGGGAGGGTGGGGCAACGCAGTAATTTTTTTTTTACCCGAAAACTCTCGAATTGTGAGAGCAGTGTGAACTGGAGCATTGTCGTGATGAAAAAACCAGGATTCATTTTGGAAAAATTGGGCCGCTTACTCCTATTTTTTTCTCGCAGACGGGTCAAAACATCTTTATAGTAAGCCTGGTTAACTGTCTGGCATTGTGGCACGAAGTTATGATGCATCAGGATCATTATACATGATCGAAAATTCGACGAAGAGCACGGATACGACCGGATTTCAACACTCGTGATTCGCGACTGGTTAATCCTAGAGCAAAGGAGGTTTCAACATGCGTACGGTAACCCCCCAACTTCGACCTACACTAGCCCTAGCCTCCTACCTAAAGCGGTTTATTTGTTAACAAGAAAGTATTTGAACTTTTTGATCAGACCTCGTACGTCAGCCTTTTTGCTACCACGGAGGTAGCATATTTGGCATGAACGCCCAATATATCGGAAACTTCCAGGGTTTGCAACCTAGAGGTGCTGGGGGATACTGCTCGAGCTGAAGCCAGAGAAAAGCAAGAGTTCAGAAAAAATTCGTCTATGAATTTGAATATGGATTCCGCACTAATTAAGTATTCTGATAAGTCTTTCAAAGCCTGTGACAAGGCAGACCGCACTCTCTTGCTGATCAACGACAGGAAAGACCGGAATCCTCTTAAAAGGATTCAAACCTGTGCGATAACGCATAGGTTCGAACGATGAATCTCTTTAAACACATTCCCCACTCGACGGTTTTGGAACTCAGTGAACGCCCTTCTTCGGTAGATTTCAACTTGCTGGGGAATGTCTTAGTAAATCTCCATCGCGTGGGGAATCCGTCTGCTTACGAATCCACGACCTGTACCTCTTTCATCTACCTGTCGTTCAAGTCCGGTGGATGCAGGTGAACACTTTGTAAGGAATGTCAAAGACAACAAAAAATGATATGCTCGAAACCAGTGAACTGAAAGAATTATGGAAAAGCTCAAACCTGAACGTGCGGTGCGAGTGATGGTTGCGTCAGATCCATTTTACGCCAGATCCCTTTGGTTTCAATCTCCCTCGATCCACCCGTGTTCGAAGTCACTTCCCCTCACTCTGAGACTCGAACGCATTGCACAACTTTTTCCCCTTTCCCGATGTAGAATAGGTTATCCCTGAGACTGAAGGAATCGCTCCAGTCCCTTCGGTGAGCCTACAGAAAACAACGGTTTGTATTATGAGGTTGCGTGAACTAGTCGCGGAAACAGCACGATGCTTTTCTTTCCTTGTTTTTATCAGTATTTGCCTCTTTTCTCGCGGTATCTTATCACAATCTCGGGTCCATGAGCGATCCTCCCACGGATTGCCAACCATTGTTTCTTTGATAAAGTTATTTCATGGTTTATTCCTTTGAGCGGAAATAGGGAAAAATTATATCAATGGTGGACTCTCCATTTTTCGAATTTTAACCGAGGTGATGCTCTCTTTCTTAATTTTACAGAATGATAATTGATTTTTGAAGTCTGGTACACTGACTAGTGCAGGCTCTTCGTTTGATTCGCTGTCCCTAGCCAATTCCTGCAAGGTGTCATCATCTGCCATCACCCGCGCACGTATGGCTGATACGGTTCAACGCTTACCCTTCACTATGTTTTCAAAAACGTTTGAACACTGGGGCAGCACTCAGATCGACGGCGCATTGCCTTCGATAACACTCAAGCAGTATCTGATGAACAACGTGTGTGAAAGAGACACTCTTCCCTCCGCCTCTAAAGCAGCCTTCACCATTGCCGTTTTGTTTATAAGAACCTTAGACTGCTGTCTCTTCGTTTCTTAGGGCAGTTGCCAATAACGCATGAGGGTAACAAAAAAAAATCCTTCCACATCATTCCGGGGCAATAAACATCTCAGTCCGATCAAGGTCATGATTATAAAGCTCGTCTAAAATAACATGTCACTCGTGCCGTTCTTGCACTAACCCTTACTACGCGACAAAGACAGCAAGGTCACACTTCTGACGAACTGATACAGAGCGGTGAACCAGATGCGACACGAGGGGTGTAAAAAATTAGTCTATCGGGCGGTCAAGGTTAAAAGAAGGGGAAACGTTCGGATTTCCAGCCGGGACGTTTGCTGTCAATCTGTCCTGTTCTAGATCCCTAACTTACGCACACACAAAATTTGGGGGGATTCCGTTGATAGCATTAGCGTGAGACGCATTCAATTTTGGGACAACCAATTGTCCTGGATGGAAAATCGATGATTCCTTAATAAATATATCGCATTCTGCTGCACATGGGCTAAATTTCCTCTGTGCTAAAGTCGAACTAGTTCCTAGAAATGGCCCGCACTGTTTCAGAATCAGTAGTACCTATAACATAAGCTAATACTAATAACCCATGAGTTAATCGATGATGCAAGAGTTTTAAATGTGCTGGGAAGAAGTTGTGGTGGTGGCTACCATCACAACGCGCGAAGCCTACGAGACTAGATCATTTCAGGCCATACGCTAGACCATCCACCCCTGAAAGCGCCAGGTCCATGAAGCTATGATATACTAGGCCAAAGGCCTGGCCAACCAACGCACTCATAGCCTGATGGACCTGGCGCTATCAGTGTGAGCCATAGGCTTTGACTCATCCTGTTATTTCCATGGGCTTCATACTTAATAGCACCCTTTGCTTGACACAGCTAAATGAATGCGTGTCAGGTTTTCACTGCTCGACTGCAGGTTCATATGAATACATTCTTTGCTGAGGTGTTTTCTTTATGTATTTTTTTCCGTTAGGTGAGATGTGGCGGTTTGCGCCATCGCTTCCATGCAATTGTTTTCTGTTTGCGTTTCATGTCATGGCCGATTTACTTGAGTTCTCATGATTGATGAAGTCAAATAATAGTCTAAAAAGGCTCTGCTTCATATGTCACGCAAACCAGGTGCACCTCCCATCAAAACGGTGGCAATTTTTGTGAGGTGAGGTTGAACGCAAAGAAGAAATGTTGAAGAACACACATGACAGCGATGAGGCAGTTGTTGCTGGTAAAAAAACGGTTGGTGCTGGCGCGGAAACGACGTTTGCCACTGCAGTTGCGGTGCGAAGTGCTTAAATCGGTGCTAGCCATAATGGCTAGAATCAGTGATGAACAGCAAGCAGATGTGCGTAGGGCCGCTGAGACGCGATAAATGACGCAAGGAATTGTGCTATATACTTCATTCCATCGAGAAAACTGTTGACTTTTTGATTATATGCAATTTATTGTCTTTCCAATTTCATGTTAAAGTAATCAGGGTAAAATGGATGATAAATAAACGCATTTTCGGCAGTGCATTTTGTGGGAGTTCCACGTCCTGGTCGCCCTATGGTTCATCAGTGGATCAGTGATGGTGTCCTCTCCAATGAAGGTGCCTATCTTCCTCGCTGTCTCCCTTGCATTTGAGCCCTTGCTGGAACTCCCACAAAATGTACTGCCGAATATGCGTTTTTTTCATCATCCATTTTACCCTGATTATTTCAACATTAAATTGGAAAGACAATAAATTGCATAATATCAAAAAGTCTAAAGTTTTCTCGATCGAAAGAAATATATAATGATATATCGCGTCAAACTTGAAACAACTTACAATCGTTTCAAAACAGTTCGCAACAAACGGAAATTATTCATGAACTGACCTGATATATTCCCCGGATTGAGACAAATTGTGATAAAGCATTGTTTCACACTGTGAATATGACATATGCCTTACGCACTGAGTTGTTTAATTGACAGCCTAACTCTCACTCAAGATGTTAGTTAGATGAGGACTGATATAACACTGCCCAGCAGTCTAATCTATCAGTACATGGAATGAAAATAATTTTTTGGCATATTGACATAAAAAAACAAATCCTGGAACTTTATTGCTAGGCCTCCTGACTCCATTACTTCCATTTTCCACTGATTTTTGTTTTGTCTCTCGTTCGTGGAAGTGGAACTACGTTTCATCGCCAGTAACAAGGTATCTGAAGAAAGCATATGGATTCCGGGTGTAGAGGAGGAGCAGTTTTGCATTCGTTTGCATCCCTTGCGCCTCCAATTCCTCTGTCAATAGTCGTGGCACCTAACGAGCTCAAGCCCTTTTCCGCCGCAGTATATCGTGCTAAGTAAGACTAATTGAAGCTGCTGAGATTCCAAGTGCGGGAGTGCGTTACTTGCTCGCGATTCATCTGCCGTTCATGACCAATCGTCCGATAGCTGCAATATTTTCTTCTACAATGGAGGTACCTGGTCTATAAGATCGTGACGGTTCTTCAGGCGTTTGACGTCCACCTTTAAAAGAAAGCACTCGGCCATAGCAAGTCTGTTTCGATGATGCAGAATTCGCACAGACTGCTTGAAGTATGCAAACGATGTTCACGGTATTTTTTCCTTCCACAGGAACCGTTCTGTCCAACGTGAGTGGTAGGTGTCACCTCACATCGCTGATACTCAGAATTATGTGTGATGACGGAATGGTATTGCTGATATTATATATTGCTCAGAATGATCCATTGCACTCATGATAGCTGAAGGCAGCAAATTTGCAAGCATGTCTGGCAAGGCAAGGGTCAAAAAGGGAAAATTGAAAATGCGTTAAGAACGCCCGTCGTACAATAATATTCAGCAAATCATCGGCTCGTCCGAAACGTCCTCAACGAGATGTTTCGAAAACCACGGATTTACCCTTACAGGAATAATTAGCCCCGTAAGTTGAGAATTGGGTTTCTTTTAAAAGAAAAACGGTTGGCCTTGACGTGACGCGAAGTCAGTCTGCTGGTTAGGCCTAGGCCTAGCGATAGTCCTGTAGAGAAGGGGGGCGGGGAGGGGGATGGAAGAAAGGAAAAGTCATTGAAATTTCGTTTTCACATTATTTCATTGTATAGACAATGATGTCCTGAAGGAGCGTGACTTCACTTACATGAACACAAACAATATCCACATTATCCTTTGTCCCTTTTCTCACGGAGTTCCTGAGATAATGAACATCTACCACTGAGTAGTAGGACTTGCGCCTAATACTCGATCAACCGATTCATTACCTTGTGCACATTTCTTAATATTCCCGATCCTAGAAAACCAAATATTCCTGTAAACCAGGCTACAAGCAACTTTTCCAGATCTTCCTCGTCCTCTTTCTTACTCCCACTTCTATCCATCATAATTTGGGGGGATGGCGCTGGATGGAAATCATCTTTTATAGCGGACCACACGTTGGTTGATCGCTATTCCGTGCCTTTAAGTTTTAAACGACATCCATTCGGTTGACAGATTGAGTGTTGATGTTCGACATCGGGATGTCTTCCTCAACACTAGAGAATTTCTCGTTCTGAAGTTTTCGTCATTCTTCAGTCTTTATTATACAATTCATTTCTATCATCCAGATACTTACAAACAAGCATTCTTAACATAGAGAAAACAAGGATAGGATATATTTATTCGACACAGCCATTAAGTTCACTTCCAATCCTTAATCATCTCAACAGACAGGTGATGTTAATAGATTCTCCATTAGGAGCAATTTCCTCACTCCCTTGCATATTTGTGCACTATCTCCCTCCCTCGCTTTCGTGGTTTTTTTTTCCATTAGCAAAAGCAGGAAGGAGTGATATGGCGAAAGATTCTACGAAGAACTAGGTTGGGGGCATCAGTTTCATCTCGCCGGAGTTCAACATCTCATTTATGGATGCTTTTTACATTAGAGTCTCACTGACGGATGTTCAGAGTCGTCCTTCACATGGTCCCATATCAAAGCGGTGTTAATCTGACAGAAGAGAAAAAGAGGATGATGATTAAAGGAAATATGTAGAGGGAAATCTTGGGGAAATATGGCCATGCAAAATGAAACATGGTCATCACGGTCCATTAAGGTCGAATTTGACTTTTACAATATTTCTAAAATATTCATTGGTATCTCCTTTACTAAGTCCCAGCAAGGCATATGCAAAAAAATCCATTGGTATGACGTCTTTGGATCTTTTTCGAGTTGGTCCCAAGAGGCCACATTACCCCTATAATTAGGGGAATATGGCCACTTCTGTGAATAAAATTCGAGGTTTTTCAGGAACGTGTGAAATATGCTGAAATATGCCGAGTGCCTTGAAACATAAGAAATGAATCTCAGCAGTGGAAAAAGAAACACTAACTGCATTGAGGACAAACAAAGGAGTCGACATCATTACATGACTCGAGGAACCTTTTTGGAAAGCAGGATTGGAACGCTTTTGTCTTTGAGTAACATTGCACGTGATTGTGAGACTATGCCTAGAGTCTGTGTGTGTAAGAGTGATCAAGCATGTATTAAAGTGAACATGTGGTACGAGTGTAAAATAAGAGGTCTTACACTGCGGGAAAAAGTTTCGTAGTTTTTGCATGCATTGATGAATAGTGCCAAAAATATAAGGGAAGGCGCTTTTGGTATGAGGGATAGTCACTTGAATTCCAATTTTGTGCAAGGAAAATTTCTCGCGAATATCAAGCGATGCGGACGTTCAGGAGGAGGCACATGAGTATATCCCCATGCACGGCTCCCTCATGTACTGCTTATTTCGTTCAGATGTCCAGTATGTCTATCCATATATCCAGAGGAAGTGCATTGGCTGATCTTTTGCAGCCCGAGATTCCACATGAAAGGAAGCAGATCGATAGGTCAGTGCGGTGTAACATGAAATGAATGATGCGTCCATAATACCCCAATTCGAGATGGCCATATTCTCCCATATTGGGTTGCATGACTAAATTGAAAACAGTCTGCAAACCGCAAGTGAAGGGACTAGCTGACTATTGATAATAGCATGAACTCTTCGATAAAACTATTTTTTAAATTCTTACAGACTGAATACATTTTAAACAATTTGTTCAGTCTGTAAGGGGATTCATTGTGAAGGGCCATCTTACCCCAATGGCCATATTCCCCTATGTCCCTTAACAATGTATCCCCTAACAGAATAAATAATCAATTTCTGTGAATTAAAAAATACTTCCATCGAACAGTATATGCAACTGCAAAACATATGAATCAAATTGGGAATCATAAACATGATTGCTCAACCCATGATCCTGATATTATTGAGTCTTGAGCAACTTGAACGCATATTTCTCAATAGCAGCAATACGGAAACTATTTGTCGCAAGTTATTCTATGGCCCCTCTAGAATGCTTGTGGAATGCGTTTGCCCCGTTCGCTTGAGGTTTTCAGGCAGTATGCTCAATTTATCGTAGAAGCCAGCATGGGGGAATATGGTCATCTCAAATATGGGGAATATGGACTCATACTTAATTTTATAGAATCAATCGCACTGACCATCAGCATTGTTAGACTCATTTAATGAAACACTTTAGGCAGCAGATCATCCTTTGCTCATACTCTGAATGTACGCTGCGGACATACGGAGATCAATTGTTCATGGGCATGAAATATGCAGCGAATATCCTGATGTAACGGGTCCTGGACATTCATTTGATGTGATTATAAATTTTCCCGACGCGAAATTTGAATGCAGGTAAAAATTTCCCTGGTAAAAAAAAAATTAAACGTCAACACGTAATTTTATTGAAATTATTATTTGTGCATACACTAGCTGAAATACACGCTGTCGCGCAGTTACATCTCAACTGGGGTTGTCGCTTTGTTCCTCATAAACCATGCCTCAATGGCCTGCTTAAACGAATGAATGATACGAAATGATACAGAAGTAAAATGAGAGATATTGGGAGAGAAAGAAACGCGCTAATAGACTTCATCACACACCTCCGAAGGTACCATGTTTCAAATGCATTCAGCTGAGCTCCTATAGGATTCATTCTCATGTATTCCCGCCACAACCCCACTCCTTCGAAAACGGCAGTTCCGCTCCTGTGGGTGTCCTGTGAGTCTCTCAGGACCAGCATAAGTGAATGTTCCACGCCCGTGGTACATTACTTAGATTACTGTCGTGATTTATTCTCGAATACGCAATACGCATTTGGCTTTCAATGCCGGTGTTTCGTATTCCACACGTAGAGACGGGAGCTTTTCGTTCTCAGCGTTCTATTATCCCAGTGAAGTCGGTGCCAGACTCAGAAAAAAGGTCAGACTCGGTCGGGTTTCTAACCCTTGCTCCCCGTTACGCGAGCCGAAAATGCTACCAATCGAGTCTCTGATCCCCGAGCTTTGCAATAATAATTCGGTTGTATCTATTTGCAACGTGACGAAAAGGTGACGCGGAAATTTTCCAATATGTCAAGCTTTTTGTTGATACTGGTTTCGGTAGAATTTGATTGGTGAGGAAGGAGTTTCCTGAAAGGGAGATTGCATCTTACAATTTTGACCTTTGACCTCCAATATCACAAAGGGGAAATGTAAACTTAAAAAAACGATTTTCACCAGCGAAGTGAGGGGAATCAATAGTCTCTAAGAAAACAGAGAATCAATGATTTTGGACGAATAATGACTCCGGTCGCCTGTGAGTGATGCCACACCCCCTAATCTTGAATTTTCAGTTATGGGTCATACCGTTTAGGAGAAATGGCCTCACACTCATGCTCATTAATAAGAGTCACGTGCAAAAAAATACATGCAATTTTTCTCGCACGATTGGTCCTCTTTTTTCACAATTACATCATGTCCTCACTTTGACCCATGTTAATAGTGCATTTCTAAACTGTTTATTCCTTTGTTTGATATTTTTCAAAGTACTCAGCATGTTTACGCGTGTTTCACACGTTTCTTAGGCATTTATTTTCTTAGAAGTAGCCATTATCCCTGATGCCTGGTAATATTTCCCTAGCAATACGGTAATAGGCCTACGCCCTCTTCCAGACAACTTTTGGAAATGATCTGAAAGCGCCATATCCATGTTAATTTTGAGCATGTTCCTTGCTGAGATTGAGTGAAGAATATTTCAATTCAGAAGACATCGATTGGCGAAGTCTTGTCATATTGATGGGCAATCAAGACCAGGTTTCTTCTTTCATTGCCATATTCCCCAATTACTTAATATTCATCTTCGAAATAATCTTCAGAATCTTTCTGACTTCACAAAAATAATACACCGGGTGAAAGTTGTCAGTTGGCCTTTTGGAACTAATGCTTACTTTGTTCATGTTACATTCCTTTCTTAATTATATTTCAAGCGGGAATATCATGAAGATCAGCGAAAAATCTAAGTTTAGTCCAAAGTAACACACAATGAGAAAAACACTCACCCAAAATGAAATTTTTCCCGTCATCCAGTTGCAGAAGGGTACCATGTCGATATCAATGTTGTCAGTCGTGACTTCTTGGACCTCAAGCCGACCCTCTTCCTCCATCACACACCAGAGCTGTCGATGGTTTTATAAGGTGTCAATGATAGCAAGATTCATCGTGCGTGTGGAGACGCTTTCCATAAGCCAGGCATCCTCAACATTCACGGTAATGATGAAATCCCCTGTGCAACCGTGAAATTCCCTTGGGTGGAGAAACCGTAACTCTATGGAATCCTGAGGATTCCAGATCTCCATCCATCTCTGCAGATTCGCCATGAGTGTCTCGTCTGACACAAGCACACGTACAAGTGTTTCTCTGAGTGTTTCTCTTACATCATGCCTCAGCACAGAAAGGAAGCACACAAGAACGCCCAGACTCGGTTCACAATATTGTTGTCCCTTGCAAATCTTCTCAAAATGTCGGTTGCCACATCTGTACTTGATGTACTTAGGCTTCGGCCCAAAGACAATGGAAGCTGAATAAGAGGGAGAGTAAAGGCCTCTTATCTCTAGCCCCGACGGAATGTTAACTTCATTCCTGGAAATGTGTGTCAGGAGCTTTGGGCTGGTGTAGCAAGGAACGATCCACTTAGATATGGGGAGTGTGAAAACAATGGCTTCAAGTTCTTTCCTAAAAAATGACTTCAGTTTTGCTGTATCTATGTTCCGACCATTTCTTGAGTGAGGCTGGAAAACAATCGATACCGTTACTTTCCGATCATTTTTCTTCCAAAAATCATTTAGGGCCGTGGTCCACTTATGAATCTCTTCCGCTGTCTCCTTAGCCTGAATTGAATAATCGTCGACATAAACATGAATGGATGACTTTGGATACTCTCTCATGATTTCCTTCACGCGATTATGAAAAAGTATGTCATGTGGAGACAATGCTGTTGATTGAACAACATCACATCTATTAATGTGACTATTGAGAAAAACCTGCGCAACTTTATGACTGAGGATGCTTCCCAAGTGGATAAGAACGCATCGATTTGCATTCGGGTCAAGGCGGGAATGTAGTTTGATGCTCTCGAGCAGCATCATACTTTTCCCCGACGATGCCGGTCCGAAGATAACGGTGCATCGAGGGGGAGCCTTGCTATATGGGAGAGACTTGACCTGAAAGTTGATGGGAAGGTCGATCCGTTGACACCCCTCGCGGTCCACATGTGGCATCACATCTGTCTTCTTTTGCAACATCTCCAAAAGCCCTATCAGCCCGGTTTCTTCAATAATCTTCGGATTCCGTATTATCAGGGAATACTTTCCCATTTCAAAACTTTCACGCTCCATAAGGATGGTAATATTATTGTAACTTGAGGATATCATTCGTACATAATTTCTCCACGTGCAATCAGGTAAATCTAGGATAACAATGCTGTTGTCCCCATGATATCCGAGAATTTGATCAGCAGTTACAAGCACAACCTTAGAGTCACTTTCACGAGAAGGCTTTTCCCATGTCGTTCCATCGTCGTCAATGAATATTACACCGGTGTCGTAATTACAATGAAGAGTGCCCAAGAGACGGTTTCGACGATCCATGCTGTCCACCACGACATAGAGCGGCTTTTCTACCGGGGATCGTTCCCGAAGAAGTTTGACGATGGCAAAAGAAGTTCTAAATGTTTCACAAGTCTCTTTCGAGGAGCACGCATCGTGGAGTGAGTGGCACGAAGGAATCAAGCATGATGTTGGCAGAAACTCCTCCTTAGGAAACCCGAAATCTGTGTCCATTATACTAGGCTCTAAGCAGAAGAATTTTCTGTGGGAGTAGTCTTCGAGGGCTGACGTCAAGTCTGCGACGTGCCACGTTACCGTCATGCTAGTATTCAAGACCAATGTCTTAACGTCCGGAATCTGGATCCTTTGCATATCGATTTCTCTCTTGTAGCTCGGATGATATGTACGGAATGCGATGGTGAGGCTCTTGATATCCCCTTTCAGACGTTTGATCCCTGCCCAATGCTTGGAGAGACTCGCTTCGTCCTGGCGACCTCGAAAGCCAAAAGTAATAGGGACCTCGACTAACAAAATATGTTTCCCATTTCCCCGGAACTGCAGGAACTTGCAGAACTCTTCGAAATCCTCTGGAATTTCTTCCGATACCCCGTCCAACACCATCACACTCGCTTCTAGAGATGAACCGAACCATAATCTTCATATCAAATACGAGAACTGCGCATGATATGGAAACCCCTAAATACTTTTTCACTGTGAATATTAAAATACACAATGTAATCTTACCTTTAAGTGTGCTTCGATATTCTTCTGTAAGCAGTCTTCCAGCGAAATTGATTAGCAATATGTCCCCTCTTTTCTCTCCCATCGCATGGACGAAAGTTTTCCCAATCCCACAGCCACCAGCCATGCAAACGAACTCTGAGCCACTCTTCACAAACTTCTTCTCTTGACGAGTTAGAATTCTTCGCACTTTCGACATTTGTTCCTTACTCTGGATGACCAACTCATGTGGGTTGCGGGGCAGATTTGTGTATGATGCAGCAGAAACGTAGAGGTCGAAGATATTCTTAAAGGTTCTCATGACAAGGGAGTGGGGATCATTATTCCACGAATTCTCCAGCATAATCCCATGCTTTCTCATAAATCTCTTGAAACTTCCCTTGGACTTCAGATCGTCGGAAGTGAGAACTCTTTTCCAGCATTCTTTGCATTTGCAGTGCTTCCGCAAATCACTCTTTGAAATCATCGGAAACGCTGCGAAACCTATCAACTTCACACAAGAACTAAGGAATTTACTGCACATGACTCGGAAAATGTTGAAATCTTTTTGGATTTGACTCTTAATTTTCGAGAGAGAATCAGTTACCCATCTGGAAATCGTTTCGGAAGTTGTTGCCTTGATTTGGAAGAAAAATCCAAAGATGTTGCTGCCAGATAACCCAATTCCGAAAACATCATGGTTACCTGATTCGAGAGCTTCCATGTTATATTTCCTGATGAACTCATGCTTTTGTTGTTGGTTGATATTTTTGAGGTATGTATCTGTGAATGAATAGTTTGCAAGTGTGAGGGATGGTACATCCTTTAGGAAACCTTTGAGTGAGTTGAAAACCATGGCAACGGAGATGTCATTATTCGATTGCATAATTTTGTTTTCTTCAAACTTGGAGGCATTTCTCCTCAATGCATTAAAATTTGTCCTACTCAGGATATATCCATCAGGTAGGGAGTATGCTTTAGAGTAAGCTTCAGGGTAGTGATGTTTCACATAATCATCGGAGGCATCACACATAAATGGATCTTGATTTCCTCCCATGTTTATTTTGAGGTACTTCCGGATGTCCAAGTTTCCTATTGGTTCATGTTCCTGCAACTTTCCAAATTGTGAAAATGCCTCACAATACTTGCATCTTAATTCGGTGCCACCTGCTTCCTGCAAAGAAAGAAAACGTTTCCTAACGATATATCGAGAGAACAAATACATGTGCACCAGACGAGCTTCTCAGGTTGACCGTTGAAATGATATTCCACCAATACTATCCATCCATCTCATCCAATCCTTCCTATACTTTAATTCGAAGAGGTCAAAAGCTGCGATGGTAGTGGTCGTGGCTGTCACCCCCACCGCTCGGACCTACGATGCAAAGCCATTCTGGGTCATAGGCCAGGCCTACAATGCTGCGCCTTTCCAAGCCATCATTATACTTTAATTCGAAGAGCCTGAGAGTTGTCGTGGTTGTCACCCCAGCGCGCGAGGACTACGTGACTATGTCATTTCATGCCATAGGCCAGACCATCCACCCCTCAATGCGCCAGGTCCTTGAGGCTATGCTATTCTAGGCCATAGGCTTGGCCATCCAACGCTTTTAGTGCCAGGTCCATTGAGCTATATCATTCTGAGCCATAGGCTTCGTACTGTACTTATCTGTGTCAAAGTCTTCTTATTTTTTTTCCGTTAGGTCAGGCGTGGCAGTTCGGGACATCACTTCCATGCAATAGTTTTGTTTGCGTTTTATGTCGGCCGATTTATTTGAGTTTTCATGATTGACGAAATCAAAATAATTACGTAAGTTCTTTGTTTCATACGTCGCGCAAACGGGCCGCTCCTCCAACAAATATTGTAGCGATTTTTGCGAGGTGAGGTTGAACGTGTAAAAAAAATGTCGAAAGAGGTCCGACAGGACGACGATGAGGC